GGGCTTCCCCCCTGCGGCCAGTCCCCCCGCTCCCCCAGCCTCTGCTTCCCAGGGCTATGGACACTCACTTCACCGTGCCCAACTCACTGCTCCTGGCCACACTGCAGAGAGCAGGACCTCTGGGGTTTGTGGGTACCCTGCAGCCCAACGGCCGTGGCCTCTGGCTCTGCAGCTCTCCTCTGAGCCAGCAGCATCCATGCTCAGTGGGAAGAGCCCTCACCCCTCATTTCAGCTGCAGACCCCCAGGTCTAGGGCTGCTGCTGTTAATCCCAGCCAGGGCACCCCACCATGCCTGGAGAGGCCCATGCAGCTGCGCTCCAGGTTTCCAGGTTTCAATCTGACCTGACACGGGTGGGCACACTTCATGGAAGCGCTTGGAAATGCATCCACTGCGCTCAGCTTCTGCTCCGTGTTGACTTCATGCTCTCACATCCATGAGCCTTTACCCTGTGCTTTATAAATAACATTAGGCAGTGTCTTTGGCTGGATAAATTCTCCTCTGTCTTTGATTTGATCCACACAATTGGACAAAGCCCTTCTACTTCATGGTATTTGCCCAGAAACAGGAGAATCCTTTAAGCAATTTAAGGCTTGACTGATCAGGACAGGTTGTACAGTCACTGGGAAGCAACCCTCGCAACGCACGCACCGGCTGCACGCAGCCCCTGAGCTCTGCTCACCAGTGATGGAGACCACAAACCTCCAACTGTGTCACAGCCGATGGAGTTCAGTTACCAGCTCCATGTGACAAACGGGCCTGCAATTCATCACCCAACTTCCCAGTGATGAGCTCCCACATGCTCCAATTCTGCTTACACTGAAACTTCCCAGATGTCCAAATTATGTCATAATTATAACAATTTTCAGTTATTGTAAACCTCTTTCCTCTCTCTGGCTCTCTCTGCAGATGAGCATGCACACTCTGGCACTCTATTTAAAGCAGGATCGTTAGCTCTCAGGATACCTTGGCCAATCCTTAACATTCATCAACCCAATTAATCCCTAAGAACCGCCGAGCACAAAGGAGCGAGGGGAAACCACTCGGAGCAGCTGCTCCAGCCTTCCTTGGAAAGGCAGGACTGAAGGAACAAACTTCCTGTGCATTCCTGACTCTCCTCAGGTCACTTCTCAAGCCTATTTTTAGAGTGACCTTTTAGTGCTGCTTTGGGTCATTTTTAGGAAGACATTCATTCAAACAATCGTAATCCACTGGTGGCCAAAAGCAGTGAATCCCTCCTGGGAGAGCAGGTAAACACCATTCCTGAGTCACTCATTGATCAGCCCAGGGTAAGGTATAGGACACCTGTAAAGAAATCTGCCCTTTGCTTATTTGCCTGAATGAGCCTCCTGCTGCTTGTTCTCTTCCTGAACAGGATCAGGAAAAGCAATTCCTTTCCTGGGCTTGCAGGAGGGAACATTCACAATCCTGGAAGACTGCATATCATAAGCTTTCAGACCTCAATATAACAGCTGGGATAGGAGAGAAAATGAGAAATCCTTATTATCAAAGAATTCCTCCCTCCAATATTATCCTGAGTTGATGTTTTGCAACAACAGCGTTGCTACTAAACGCACTAATACAAACTAAGCCCAGGCTCTGAAGCAGGAAGACTGCAAACTCAGCAGTAAGACAAAGCGATCATTCTCATACGGGTCAGGTATGTTAGGAAGCAGCTGAAAGCAAACCTTGTTATTGCTCCAAGTAAAGAGAATCACAAACCCATTTCTGTCCCTGTCAGGTCACCTTTGCAGACAGCATCTCTAACAAACCCAGGGACTCCTGGCTCCCATTCCCAGGGCTGAGCAGCGGGTCACACACTGAGCCTGACAGCCTCCTCCACAACAGGATAAACTACCTTACTCCAATCAGTGTTGCATATTCAGCCCTGCCCCAACTAGTTGCAAGAACCTTTACCCTGAGAACAAACAACTAGGAAATGCCTTGAACTGCATACCAGGCCTTGGGCCAAGGAGGCAACAGGCTCCCCACCTCTGCCTCAGCAAGCACCCCGGGGCTGGGAGACAGAGGGGTTAACCCAGAGGAATGCGGGATGCTGAGCCAAAGAGCAACCCAGGAGGAACAGCAGCATCCTCCTGGGCTCCAGCACTCTGCAACAAGAGAACATCTGCCTAAACCAAAGCTCCCTGTGCTGGTGCAGCTTCTGTGCAGGAGAGAGGATTTCACAACTTCGTCTGAGACAGGCAGAGTCCATCAGTCTGATCCAGACTGAATCACTACATAGACAGGAGACCCAGGCCCTGCATTTCTGCCCTTTAGTCCAGACTTTCAACACAGTTGGCATCAAGTCTCTCGGTGAATTGGTCACACTAGCAAAGGCATTTCACGTTCCTTGCCTCCACTGTCCTCTCCCCGTCCCTGTGCACCAGTAACCCTTCAGCACCCACTGAAAACAAGCCTGATGGAGAATCAGTGAGGCTGTTGCACTCCCAGAGCAGATGCTCCAAACTCTGCTTGAGCAGGGTCTCACTCCCTGGACCATCCTCACCCTTGCTCCTGATCCCTTATGCACAGCAGGACGTAGGCAGGGCCCTGCAGCTCCCCCTGCAAAGCTCTCTGACAAGCTGCCCATCAGCACAGCTAAGGGATGGGTACCAACAGCCTGGGGATGGGCTGCTGCCGCTCTGTCCCTGCAGCTGCATCACCTCTGTGCTAGCCAAGGGCATGAGGAGGGGAGCGATGCTCACAGGATACTGACCAGTAGGAGTTGATGATCTTGCAGAAGGCCAGCTCACAGCACATTTTCAGGTTGCCCTGATGTTCAGGAAGGTCTGAAGATGAACACTTACTGGGATCCACCTCGCAATTCTCATCTGATTCATACAGTGCCTTGATAAATTCCCCTGTAAAACAGACAGTTGGTGATGGGTTTAGGAGACGCGAGAGATGAGGCCTGCAAGCAAGTCTGTTCACAAGCCCCAGCACCCCAGCAGTTACCCTGCACCCCATCAGTTACCTATACCCACCACGCTGCCCGAACAGAAGCCAGGTACAAGAGCTGGTGGTGGCTCCCAGGGCAGACTGTGCCCCAGTCAGCTCTCAGGATCAACAAGCAGACCCAGGAGCGCCCTGCAGAAAGGCACCCATATTCCCAATGAGCACATTCCATCCCTCTTGCCCAGCTGGCAGCTCTGCCTCTGTGGTTATGGGCTATTGCATCAGAACTGAGCTGCCAAAACACCCGCTTCCTCAGCCCGCCCTGACCCCCCATTACACCAGTTCCAGAGACGCTCCCTTGGGCAAATCCAGTAGGAAATATGCTGGCAAGTTCTGTAATTATTTGTAGGATGGCTGCAACTGCAGCCTGTGCCCTGGCGCGGACAAGCTGGCGTGATTCACAGGAGAAATGGGTAATTAAAGGAAAGGAACCATTTACTCGGTTTATTTTGTGCTGAACATCACACGAAATTGAATTCAAATATTTCTCTGAGCTTGCCTGCACTCCTGTTTGTGCCTGGCTGCTCCTCACACTGTGTGTCTGCTTTGGAGCTCCTCACTCTTGTGCCACCTTTCACCCTGGGTGACAGATCCCTGCTGCCTGGGCTGAGGATGCTCCCCACTGCGTGGTGTCCAGCCTGGGGTGGGAGCCACCCATCCCAGTTAGCACACAGTGTGGCTGGGGATGGGATAATGGGGATTAGGAGGCAGTGTCTAAGGGATCTGCAGAGCCAGGTGATGTTCTGGAGAAGGGTTTGCTTTGGTTTTCTTAGAATTCCCACTGGTTTGCTCATCTTCTCATTCCTGACCATCTTGGATTTTCCCACACTCCTGGTTTTGGCTCATTCTAGTCTGCATTCCTCCCGTATTGCCAAAACACATTTTAATTACACACCGGAGAGCCTCTCCAATGGATTTTCAGCTTTGCCAGGGAGCTCTGGAGCCTCTCTGCTCGCCTGCAGGTGATGCCTGCTGTTATCATCCGGCCCTATTACTTGCTTGTGCTTCATGGTTTAAAGGAAAGCACTATCCTTTATTGTGTTACCTTGTGCTGTATTGTGTTACCTGGTGGCACACAGATGAATCACTTCACTGATAAAAGGTCTTACACAGAATCAGTGCCCCGACCAGCGAGCACGAGCCCAGGCTCCACCTGCATTAGCTGGAGCTGGCTTGGCAGCATTTGCATCGAGCCCTGAAAGAGGAATGTTTCAGCACTCTCTGCCTTCATTAATCCCCCTGCTTTTTAGAAACTGTATGAGGTAATCTACTTACAGACGTGCCTTCAACCAGAAAGCATTACAAGGCAGAAATAAATACTATTCCTTTTCCTATTCTTATGGGCTATGTGTTGGTTCGACTCCACGATCTCCCCTTCCCGACGCTGCCATTACTACTATTATCTTAATAAAGTATTTATGCTTCTTTGCTCCTTGCTAAAATTACACAAATCCACTAGTAGGAACCCAACATACTGAAAAATTAACACTTCAATGGGAGCTCTGCTCATCCTACTGCTAAGATGTGGATCTAATCTGCCTGCCTTCGGCTGAGGCTCAGACATCATGCTTCAAAGGCAGCCTCTCCCCATCCTCATGCTATGCTGGCTGCAAACAGCAACACAGCAATTCCTTCCTGACCTGCCCAGAAGCAGAAGCTCTAATTATTTTCATTTGCATCAAGAGAAATATTTTTGGAGCCATAAACATTGCCAGCACTTAAAAACCAACCACCAGGAGGGTTGTTCCCAGCGTGATCCGGGACATGACTCTCTCATCACTGGAACTTGGGAGATTTCATCTGACTTTCCGGCGCTGCAAGGAACTGAGGGAATGTCTCTGGTCGGGGGGTGCATCAGGGGAAGGGTTCCATCAGCTGCTGTGACACTGACAGCGCCGAGACAGAACACTTGGAAGGCAGCATAATGCCTTCACATACCAATTTGTCTCCTTTGAAAGCAGACTGCAGCACTAACTCAGTGGTGACCTTCACCTGGGAGCAAAGAGCTGCCCACTGGGTCATGGCTGTGCCCCTGGCTTGGACCCTGCTGCCAGCCAAACCTTCTGACAGGTATCAGGGCTCCACCACGCAGAGCACCCTGCAGCCTAGAGGAGGACTTGCCAATGCTCTGTACATACCTAAGGCATCTTGCAAGTATTTCTGCCCCACCAGCTTCAGGTATTCTTCGATTGCTTTGGTGGCCAGTGTGTTCTCCCTGAAAATGAGATGCTCATTCTCACCACAGCGATCAACTTCAGACATCATCAGGTCAGTCAAGAAATCCTGGAAAGCAAAGCCCATGGTGGGTCACCACGCACCGACACACGCTTTGTTCAGCAGAGCAGGCAGCCTCCCCTCCTCTCAGCTTTGTGAGACGCAGGAGAGAGCGGAGGTGCTGCGGGTGGTCCTGGGTGTCCACGCTGAGCTACTCCCAGCCCCACTTCCCTCCTGTTTCTCCAACCTCACGTTGGAGAGAAGAAAAATAAATCTCTGGAGAGACGCAATTTTTGCACCACAAAAAACTATTCAAAATGACCCCCAAAAAATGATTCATTCCAGACCTGCACCACGTTTGCCTTTCCATCAGTGCTGGTTTCCAGCCATGTCTTCTATCAGCCTCATATTTTAGGATGGTCAAGGTTGGAAAGGACCTTAACATCATCTAGTTCCCATTTTGTGGGTGAAACACGTTTGCTGTTAAATGTGACTGTATTTGATGTCTGACTGGTTGCAAATCAAGGGCATGCTCGGATGTCACGAGCTGTGCTCCACAGTTAATGACTGAGAATCAAGCCTGTAATATGCATCAAGATACTCAAATGTCCCATTTCCTTAGTACTCATGGAAATAAACAGCATTGCTACAGCACAGATTTGGGGCCTGATGTGCACACAACCAAATCCCATGCGATTTTCAGCCAGGCTGCTGAACTACAAACCCTAAACTAAAACCAGCCCTTCAGCCTGAGCTCCAGGTCTGCCTCAGCAGCAGCATTAACCCATCAGAGAGCACGAGCCAGGACCCCGTGCATTCTGCTGAGACTCCACTGCGTGGTGTGGTATTTAGTGTGCTCTAGCCAGTGTTAATGCAGGAGAAATGCCATGCAGATTTTAATGCTAATATATATTCAGCTTCTGTTCACTGCACTGCTAATGGGAAAAGCAGCTCTGGGCTCCTGCCCAGCTCCTCGCTGTGCTGGGTGCTAGAAAGCTCCATCTCCTCCCACCCTGTACCATTCACCTGGACAAAGGGGAACAGGCACCGTGTAAATCAGATGCATTAAACCTCTCACTGTTTCCCCATGCAGGAGACAGAGAAATGTTGACATACACACTCAATTCCACAACCAAGGGCACCTTTTTTTAAACTGCCTTCCTCTAGAACAGAATAATCTGCTTGGTAATAACCTTTCACTAAGAAATTCTCCTTCATTTGTCACGACCATACCAGAGGTAACCTGTTCCTGGCAGGGGCAGCAGGAGCATCCCAGAGCTGTCATGCAGAGACCCAGGTCCTGTCCTTGCCATTCCCAAAACACAGCCCCCAGAACCCCCCAAGCACCGTGGCCATGACCCAGCCTGCTCCAGCCCAGGCCTGGGAGAGGGGACACTCAGGTCCCATTCCCTGCCAGCAGCTGGCTGGGAGATTTGCAAGAGAGGCACTTAGCTCCATTTCATTCTTCATATGATCATCCCTGCACTGAGAGCTCAATCAAGGTTCAAACAGCACGCAACGGCCCCAGCTCTCCCACTTTCCCACAAGACTGGGACCAACACACTGCCCTGACCTTCCAGAGCGCCTCAAAAAGAGCCAAAGGAGTTTTGGTTAAAAAAAGAAATCACTTCCATTATTTCTTTACCCTTCCTGAGATCCTGCTACGTCTGCAATGCTCCTGCAGCTGCAGAGGCAAAAACATCCCTCCTGGAAGCAAAGCACGTGCCTTCCCCCACTATTTTCTCTCATTTAGCCCCTTTTATCAGCAAGGCTGGAATGAAACTTTAAACCCCTGCTCAATTCCCAGTAGCTGCTATCTGGGTAACTCCATCACCTTTATCTTCCTGGGTCTCTCCCAGGGTACGTTTCAATTCCAAGCCACAGCTCAGGCTGACACAAGGTGCTGATTCTTAATTAGCAGCCACTGACCTTGGCTTTGCTCGATTCTCTTTCTTGTCACTTTCCCAACATACTAATTATCTCAGGAATAACTGAGTTTTACAGCTTCTCTTAGCCAAGGGTTTGCTTTCCCCTCCATTGCTGGCCAAGGACTGGCAGCTGTGAGATGCTGGTCCAAGCTGTGATGCACACCCCAAATGCAGCCAGGGCTGCTGAGTGGTGGAAACCCAGAGGACAGGTTTTAGCCACTGATAATGCCAATTTCAATGATTTTTGCTGATCTAGAATCCACTAGAAATTAAAATGAGGCAAAATTCCACTGTGGGACTCAGCACACAGCCAGAAAAGACTGCTCTGAAACCTCTGCTGTGGTCATTATCCACTATGGAGCACCTGCAGCTTGACAGCTGAGAAACAACCTCTTGTCTCCAAAGGGGGAAGGAAAGCTGCTGAAATCCCAAAGAGCTCCATTATGGCACAACACCCAAAGCTGGGACTTAATGTGGTGGGATCTGGCCTTGTAACTGATGGGGAGATGGAGGGGAGAGCCAGGACACCCAACAGCACCCTGCAGGCAAGGGCTGCTCAGCATCCCCAGCAGGTCCAGCCTCCCCAGGCTGCAGGAGGCATCTTGCCAGGCTAGGAACCAGCGCTGGGATGTATCAGGGATCAAAATACCCACAGCCAACGTCCTTGAGTGAGTTCCTCTGCCTCTGGGCAGCCCAGCAGAGCTCTGCTTGCTGCGGGAAAGGAGCCTCCTCCATGGGTCAGTTCCCATGACATCCTGCAATTCCTGTCCCAGGGCCATCTTCCAGATCCTGCCGCCCCTCTGCACAAAAAGCCACATCAGCTCTGGATCACACGTCTGGTATCTCTGTCTGAAGGACGCCAGCAGCCAGCACTCGGAACACACAAATGGAATGCAAATACTTGTTGAATCCCTCCGGGGGCCTCACTCACCCACATACAAGGCTCCGAATAAAATGCAATAACTAAAGCCAATAAAACTCCCTGTTTCTGAGCAGCAGAGATCAGCAGGGGGTTGTTTTCAGTTAGGGCCCCTGGCAATGGAAGAAAATAAGATGCTTTATTTCATTACATGGGAGTCGAGAGGGGAAGGAAAAGGTCTTACAGTAAAAATTAAGGGCTGTGGCAGTGCTCTGCAGGCTTGTTCCCGTGGTGTTTTTAAGGGTATTTGCTTCAGACTGGACACAGCTGAACCTGTGCAACTTCAGTCACTGCCCATATGCTGATAGGGAATCACAGAACAGTTTGCGTTGGAAGGGACCTCAAAGATCACCCAGTTCCAACCCTTCCAACTCTTCTAAGAAGAGCAATTCTCAAATAAATAAACCCAGCGCACTGGTTCCCAGCACTTTTCAAACAGCTAGGCATGGACCCCCAGCAGCACGTGCTGTGCTAAGGCAGCTCCTCCAGAAACACACACGAGTGGCAGCCTGGTCCCTGCAGCAGAGGAGCTGGGGCTGCCCCATCCCTGGCAGGGCTCAAGGCCAGGTTGGACACAGGGGCTTGGAGCAACCTGCTCTAGTGGAAGGTGTCCCTGCCCATGGCAGGGGGTTGGAACTGGAGGAGCTTTAAGGTCCCTTCCAACCCAAACCAGGCTGGGGTTCTGTAAGTAAGTCACCTCATAGCAGGAATCCTTGATGCTGCCATGGAGGATCCCCTAAACCTTTGCTTGGGGAAACTGGAAGGAGAATATGGAGATGGGGCTGATGCCCTGGAAACAAGCACATCACAGCCCATGCGTGGTCCCTGCAGGCAGCTGTTGGAAGCTGCTGCCCTGGGGAGGGGGCCTCGACTGGAAAAGGCTCATTGAAAAGAGAAGTCCACCAAAAGAAAACCAACACCTGCTCAGGAATAGGATCCTCCAGTGCCCACGTCAATGGGGCTGAGGAAGCGGACTAATCGCATTGCTCCAACACAAAAAATGGGAAGAAAAAGCTTCTTCAGAGGGGACAAAGCCAGAGCAAAGAAAGTTAATCCAGTCACACATCTGATCAACAGCTGACAGCTCAGCCTCCAGCACCCCCCAACCCTGCACACCCCACAGTGCTTCGAACTTCCAGTGCCAAGGAATCCTACCCTGGTGAGGGGTCTGTCTGCAACATCTATCCCAGTCCCTGTACCCGGGGGGGTGTCACTGGGCAATACTGGCCCCCTCCAGCTCCTGAGCCCAGGAGGCACAGGGATGGAGCCAGCCGGGTGCCTGGCCTGGCTCCGGTGGGAGCACGAGTGTTTCCAAGGCAAAGGGAGCCAACAAGCAGCACAAGCCTTGCAGGACTACCCTGTGCACCCAGGAAGGAGTCTGCACCTCGCTGTGCTGGGGAAGGTCCTCCAGCCCCTCTGGATGTGGCCATAATGGAGCATGTGGGGTTTGATGGAGCTCGTAAGACCCACGGCCCTGCACAGGCTGCTTGGGGGACACAACCCCTGGGGCTGGAGCTGATGGTTCCCAATATTGTAACTGACTGATGGGCAGATTGACCTTGAAATAATAAGGTTCTCCACATCACAAGCCTGATTAAGAGGATTGACTTAACCTTAAGAGGATTGAATTGATAAAGGTAATAAGATTACTGCTAATTTCAAAGACTAGCCCAGAGTCCAGCTGGGCTTTTATGCAAAGGTGAAAAACACCAGGGGTTAGTAGGGCTGTAGGTTACAGGTGGACGAGTGTCAGGACAAACCTACGTGTGTCAGTGTTGCAGCGGCAGAGAAACACAGCACTTGATGTGCAAGGAGAGCAGCAGAGGGCAGGGACTGGGTTCTGGACATAGGGTGTGAAACCAAGGCCCCCACTGCCAGTCATTGACTCTTGACTCCCACAGTTCCTATGAGATCTGCACTGGACCCTTCTCTGCTAGGAAATGTAGTGATGTTCCCCCTGTGAGTGCTGGAGCCCACCCTCCACACTTCTGGCATTTTCCAATTCTCCTTGGGAAAGGAGGTGAAGTGGCAATGTGAGGGTGAACACAGAGGAATCTCTGTCCATCACCTTGCTCATGGCAAGAAGAAAAGCTAAGGGATGTAGTAATAACACACTGAGTGACCACCAACCTCCCCATGAGGGCAGAGGGGCTGGATCCCACACAGGAGGCTCAGAAGCTGCTCACCACCCCAACAGAGGGGTAAAAACTGTGGGGGTGCTCATAAAGCTGATTAAAAGCCTTATTAGTTCAACTATAGCTACTATAAGACATTATCAGAGAGAGATACTCCGTGGGGAAAACGATCTGGTTGCTGCCAGGCTCGTCTATGGCTAAACGTGTGCAGCATCCGTGCTTCCCTGTGCACTTTCCCAGTGCCCTGACCCAGCTCCACCGGAGGAGTCACTACATCTGCTTAGCTGAAGCTAATCCTTGCAGCATAAACAAACAAGGACACATGTTTATTCTTCACTCCATTCACAAGACGATAAATATTTATTTCAAGTGAGCAGCTGGTTCGGTAGAGCTTTGTCTAATGCTGGGTTTGAGCTACCAACCATTTGGACAAGAGGGGTTTTTTAGGTATTTATGGTCATGAACTGAGCTCCAAAAGCTGTAAGACAGCCCTGAAACAAATCTAAGCATGGGAAATATTCTGGAAGCATCCAATAGGTCTTGCTTTGGGAAGGATGCAGCCACAACCACATCACACGGGCCACATCAAGCCATGCTAATGGCAGGGCTGAGCACTCCTGGTAACACCAGGCTTGGCAACAGAAATACTTGAAGTTATGACTTTGTGTCTTTGGTCTGTGGGTTGCAAAACACGTGGAAATAGTCAGGCATCTCCACGCCCTTAGAGGTAACACTTATCAGTGCTCTCACTGGGGAGATGGAATCATGTAATGAGTCAAGGAGCGATGCTGAGAGCCTGCATCCCCGTGTTGAGCCACAAACTCATGTCCCTCTAGCCTCTTCCCACCCATACTTGCCATAAAGAGACAGTGAACAACTTCTGAGTGACTGGGGGAGCCAGTGTAGTGCTGGATGTTTGTCAGACTTCCCACAGGGCAGGGGCAGCTCCCTCAGCCAGCCCATCTGCACTCTTCTCCATTAAAATGCTTTCCCCTTCCTTACTGCCTGGTCAGAGGCTTCCAGGCACACCCCGATGCACACCAAACCCTCACACAGCACTGCAGGGACGAAGCTTCTCCCTTTCCCAAAGAGGGATTGAAGGAAGCATGGACTCTGAGCCCAGAGAGGACACTCTGCTTTCATTCTCCACCTTTTACTCTACCGTGATACAGCTGTGAAGCCCAGGAAGAAGCAGATACTTAGGGAGAAAACTCAGCTACAGCCCTTGTCCCCATCCTGCTGCAGCTCTACGTGCTCTGCACGTGGCATCACCCGCACAGCACCACATCAGCCCTCTCCTGCACACAGCTCCTGCAGCGTGGCTCTGGGTGGACACACGGACCCCATGGCCCTGCCTCATTAAGGGATTACACCGTATTTACAGCAAATCACTACAGGAAAGCAGGGCCTGAAACACTGCACGAGCAATTAGCTGCTAACAAGTCTTCACAGATAATCTACTGGACACTTGTTTCTCAGGCCAACTGTTAATTGCTGCTTTAGCAACAGCTACAGCAGCCAAAATCAACAAAACCCCCTTTATCAGCAAGATAAATTGGTGGTTGCCGAGTCCACGTCTGCACTCTTCAGGGCAGGGGAGAGCTCTCGAGAGGTGGCTGGAACAGCTCTTGGCAAAGCCCAGGGATGCAGAACCCACCTCCAGCTTCAGAGGTCCCAGGAGGACAGAGCCTGGAAGGGGGGGCTGCCCCAAGGGTGCTCCTCACCCAGCAGAGGCTGGATATAATCTTGATGTAAGAAATGTTATACATCTAGAACAATCAATCACTGGAAAGACCTCCCCATGGGCATGGTGGGGTCCCATCACTGGAGGCTTTCACGATACAACTGGACAGGGTGCTAGCTAATCTCAGCGAGGCTGCCTTTCCCACAAAAGGCTGGACCAGATGATCTTCTGAGGTCCCTTCCAACCTGGGCTGTTCCGTGACTCGATGATGTTACCTGCCTGCTGTTTCTCCCTCTCTCTGCTTGTCCAACTAAAGCATGCACCACCTGGTTCCCATGCTCCAGTAACTCCTGTTGCTCTGACAGCTCCCTAAACCCTGTGCTAATGCTGATGGCAGATGACAGGCAGGGAAAGCAGAAGCTCCATTTTAGGGGGAAATTCATCAAGTCTGTTTACTGTTTGCCATGTCCCCTGTGTAGAGCCTTGGGATCTCAAGCACTGATGCAGACACATGTCTGGAAACACACTTGCTCTCTCTGGAGCCTCTCCAGTACCAAGGAAAAGAGGAAAAAAGCAGGAACAGTGATAACAGCTCTCAGCCATGCCAACATACGATCTGTGGTGACTGAGACTGGGGTGTCACTTGAAGACTTCTGCACCAGCACCGTGTAAGCCACGGACACAGTCCTTCATGGAATGTTATTCCAAGAGGAGCCCTGGCACTAGTGGGCGAGGGGCAGCACAGCCCATGGTTCATGAGGAGTGGTGCCAGCAGAAGGCAGGGCTGTGCTCAGAAACCACACACTGAAGGGTCCAAAGCCCTGGCACAAGGAGTGAGGAGGGGACACCTACGATGCTCCCTTGTGTAACCACAGAGCATATTTCACATGCTGTGAACTGCTTCTGTCACCTCTGAGGGCAACAAAGCCAAGGGGAGCAGGACTGCAATCCTTCCCTGTGCTCCTGGGGCCTGGCACTGCTGCCCGGGATAAGGAAGGCTTTAACAGCTATTTTCTCTGCCTCTGCAACAGCAGGCCCATGGCTGCACAATCCTCTCAGTGAGCTTTGCCTGCCCTGAACCAGATCAGGAGGCCAAGCCACTTCTCTGTCCAACAGAAGGTAATTAAATCTAATCCATGAACCCTGCCGTGGTCCCAAGCAGCAATGGCAGCTGCAGAGGAAGCAGAGCCTTGTGATTCCCCCTCAGGTGAGGGGCTCGCATCTCCTCAGCACTGCAAAAGCTTTGGAAAGCTTGCTCTTCCCCAGCTCCCTCCTGCAGAGGTCAGGGAGATGTTAACAGAGAAAACAGAGATGCCTCAACTCCTGCAGTGCTGACACTGGCACTGCTCACCATGGCCTGCCATGCCCCCCGGGGATGAAGGATGCTCTGCAGCAGGGGGGTCGCACAACTCCGTGTCTCATGTGCTGGGGACCTCAGTGCTTGCCTGTGCTGTCCAGTAAGGGAGTTCCCAGCTCTGCTCACCCTGCCTGTGTCCTCACAGATCACAACCAGGAGTAAATCCCACTCTCTGCCTCCTCCTTCCCAGCCTGGTGGGGGATTCCCAGCTATGAATAATATGTTCAAAGTCGTCCACACAGACTGAACTGCCCTGGGTGTTCAGTGCAGGAATACCCAGCACACAAAGGCTGCTTAGCTTAAGACAGCATTGCTTCCATTTCACCTCTGAGAACTGCCTTGCTTACTTTCACTGTTTATAAGGCAAAAGCCTGGACTCTCAGCCTCCAGAAGGGAGAAAAATAACTCAGTTGGTACCTTGAGGTCCCACTGACCTCTTTGCTAATTAAGAAATTTGCAATTTGCTAGCAACCTGTTTGTAATTAAAAGCGAAATTAGAGTGTATGGATAGCTAGGCCTGAAGCCCAACTCATGTGGTGATTTCAAAGCCCAACACAGAGCCTACTCCCGATGGTCGCCGGTGGGATGTCAACGGGTCTTACCTTTGCCTTGCCTGTACTCTGCAGGATGTGCACCAGCGCAGACGCCATCTCCTCCTTGTTCTTCACGCTCAGCGAGGGCTCCAGCACCGAGCACAGCACCATGTAATTGTTAGTGATGTACTCAGCAAACTCTTTGTACATCTCCATGGGAAGAATGCTCATGCTCTGGTAGCGCGACTTGATGCGGATCATGGGCCCTGGGGACTTGCCCTTGCCCGGGTTGGGGCTCACCACTGGGTACCACTTCTCTACGAACTGCCGGCCCGTGACCGAGCTGACAGGGATGTTCACCTGGCCTATGAAATTGGTCTTGTCCTTCTTCTTCTTCTTGTCAGTCTCTTTGTATAAGTGCACCGTAATGTTTTTGAGCGATGGGAGGTTATTAAATTCAAAGTGCTCCCCCCAAAAGACATTATCAGTTTTCAATTTACAGGTAGTTCGTGCATAAAGAACGTCATCCAGGCATAATTCACACAAGTACTTCTTCTTAGCTGGCAGGTCCTTGGCTTCAATAATCCATAACTTTAACATATTCTCTACCCTTCTGCTGTTGTCCTGAAAAACAGATGCAAAGAAAAAAAGGTCACCAAAAAAACCCAAACCACAAAGCCAAGCACAAGAGAACTGGAGATAGGAGTTAATTATTTCGGATGTGCTAAATGAGCAGAGACTTAATTACATTTTATTTTAAGGAAATACTGGCTCTCAGGAATCTGCATAATAACACTACTTATGTTAATTTTCCAAATATCACCATGCTCTCTGTGTCTGTTGGTGCCAATTAATATAAGGAACAAGGAAGATAAAACCCTTCCAAATCATAAATGTACCATTTCCCATTCACTGCCAAGAGGGCCTCAGCAGAAACCAGAAGAACCTCACTGATCATTAATGGTTTTTGCAGAATAGAAGCTGTATTACAGGTATCTCCCAACCACCTCCCTTTTTAGTACAGCTGCTTTGCAGCAGCACTGGAGTCTGTTTTCTTCACTGTAATAGAGCAACAATCAAGGGATCTGAACACACACCCAGGGATCACCTCATCCATGGCTGGAATGCAACCACCTCTGGCAGGGAAAGAAGCATTTACAAAACCTCTTGATATTTTAGGGCAGACGTCCAGAGCACCCAACTAGAACATCAGGAGACAGAGAGAGTCCCACAGGAGAATCACTACAATCCAGAAATAGAAATGTGGCTTGGCTATCTTTTAAACAATCACAGAGCAAAGGACACTGGATCTTTAAGAGCTCCCCAGTGATGCTGACCTCATCCTGGAAGAATATCCAGGGGCATCTGTTGCAGGAGAGGCTTGAAAGATAAAGCACTCGCAGCTGAACCACTGTGAGGGGTTCTGCAGCAACCTGCTTTGCTGGGAAACCCCTCACTGAAACAGCCACCACGGCTGGCTCTGCTCTGCCTAGGAGGCTGGGGAGGAACGTTCCTGCTGCAAGTCCACAATGGGGTACTGTAGGTTCAGGAAGTACACGCAGGAACTACACAAGAACACCGAATTCCTGACAGAAATATCAAGTCAGATACTGAGAGTTTATTGTCTGTGAACTCAAACAAAGATGGAAAACTAGCCATCAGTTAATGGCATGTTTTGAGATGAGGGCACTCTTCCAAATGAATTTCCACTGAACACCAGCATCTCAAAGCCACAGTGACGTGCCCAGCCCCAACTCACATTCCTGGGACTTTTCCCATGGTGAGAGTGACCACGCAAACCTTACACAGCTCTTGCAGACCACTACTACCAGGTTGCTGCACTTGGAAAGCATCAGAGTCGCTGAACTCCCATACAGGAACGTGCTGCTGGAGGCAGCAGTCCACCTCTCCCCTCCACTGCTCCTGTGATCATCTTGAAGGAAGTCTTTTATACTGACATTTGGCACTGTGCTGGGAACAATCGAGCCCGACACAGAGGGCTCCTTTAGCAACCTGCCAGGCCTGGACCTAACTTGTATGCAGTTATGTGGCTCTGATGCCAGGAAGGAATTCACAGGATCCCATCTTTTGTGTCTTTTTTGATCAGCAGAAAGAGACTTGCTGATAGAGCTCATCAGCTGTGAAATCCTGCAGCTGATCAATCTCCGTTACCCAACTCAGTGCAGAGAGGGAGAAGCATTTTAATTTAGGATGTACTTGGTCTTAGTGGGCCATAAAACCGCATATTGGGTGTCCCTGTGTTCTAGTGAAGGATTTGTTTCTCTAGATCTCAAAGGGGATGACTCTGCCACTCAAGTGACTGGAGAAGGGGAAGGTAGATTCCACTATTGCCTCAGAGAACTCGCTGTGAGTGGCAGCTGAGTTTCTCCATCACTAAAGCAGACACCACAAGTACTACCAGAGTGAGGGAGTGCGCTCTGTGAACTCTTCAGACCGCTCAGACTTGTCACTTTGCTGGCAGCTACCTGAGAGCTTGCCGAGCTCCCAGAAGTGGAAAGTCCTATGTATGCAGCAAGTATCATCAGTAACAGAGCAAGACTGAAGATTCTTCAGGTCTGATCAATTCTCAGCAACAGCTGAAGCAGCAAGTGCTCAGAAAAGAGGGGAAGAAGTAATTGGCACTTGTCTGTAAATATAATTGTGGGAGAAAGCAATATGGAAAAAGGCTGACCCACAGTTACACTTACTCACTGTGTAATGACAATATGTCCCCTGCTGCTACTATGCACTGGGCTATAAAATGTAATAATGAGGAAGTGAACTCTAACAGAGGCAATTCCTCAAAGCCACTACCTTATTTGGGTGCACGGCACGCCGCAGGTTTTCCATCCATTTATCTCGCTCTGCTGCAGAACGACACGAGAAGCACTTACTTCCTGATGAAGTCGTCACCTACAGGGAAAGGAACAGGATTATGGCTTGACCAGCACACTGTAGGCTGCGATCCGGGGAGAGGGGGAGTTAGGAAAGATGCTAGTGGGTTTCTTTAGTACATGTTTTGTTTTAAGCAAACAGCTTTACCCAAGCACGAAGCAACAGCCCCTAAGGCTGGCGGAAAACCAGGGCAACTCTCATGTCACAGAAATAATCATGGAAGCAAATTCCAACTAGTTCTCCTCTTCCACATCAGAAAACAGTAGAAAACAGGCCCCACGCATGTGACACTTTAAACCACCAAGTTCCACAACTGAGAGTACAAATCTTTACATGAACTAAAGATAAATTGCAACCACTTGGCATTCCTCCAGATTCAGCCCAAAGCTTGTGATAGTAACCACCCATTCCTTGTTTTCAGCAGAACATCAGGCCTGGGAAGGCTGATTTCCCACCTTCCCCCTTCGTGTCTTGTTGCTTCTGAAGACCATGCTGTGAAGAGCAAGGGGACAAGCACATACATCCCACTCCTGGCAGCAGTATAAGCAGCACTCACACCCCAGCCAGAGGCATTCCACACTCGGGCCCCAGGCTGGGGCTCCTGGACCTGGAGATGGGTGGTGAAGTGCTGCTGACCCCTCCTCTCATGCTTCCAAGGGGTCTTTCTGCAGCGTTTTTGTGACTTTCTCTGGCCATTGGGATTCCATAGCCATGTTCTGAAGAAGAATGCTCATAGCAATGACATTTCCAGTGGTGAAAATGCCCCTCGTTCCTTATCACATCCCTGCTACCACACAGAAACAACTACGTTGAGAGCCCACTAAAGCCACTGCTGCCCAGCAGCCCCAGGATGACAGGCACCAAACATTTCTTCCTATCCACCACACCAAGCTTCCTTGACATCAGTTACTGAGCCAAGGTCTCAAAGGCCAATAGTTCTCTGCATCTTCTCACATACACATATTCCTCAAGCCACTGTCTCCTCCAGGCCCTGCTGGGAAGCTGAGAGCCCGTGACCATGGTACCACAACCCTGTGTTGCCCACAAAGCCCTTCACAAGCTCTGCCCGTCTCTGCATTCACTGCTTTTGGTGATGTCCAGTAATATTCTTTATGTACATCTCTGATGCAGGCCAAATGGACCTGGCCAGTACTTTAAATAAGTCCCCTTGAGCTTCATTTCCACCAGTCTCAACCTGCAGAATTATTTCTGAGTACTTTATCATTTCAGAGTGTTTGTGCTCCCACACTGCACACTGGGTTATCTGCTGCTGGGAGACACAATCTCCTTTAATTTCATGTATCTCCCAGAAGCCTAACCTGTTCTTACAGCAGAGCTGGCACTTGCTAAGATTTGTCATTAGCTAATCTCAACGATGAGTTGAACGCATCCTGCCTTTGAACACAGACATCTTCTAACCAGGACAAAATAAGCAGCAGCCCATCCTTGTCTTTACACAGCAAATGCAAGAAATCTTCCTACCCTTGATACCCCAGAAACTCTCTTCAGGGTATCACATCTCCCTGTCCTCACATGCTTTTATCCCCTCCCCTGTTAAAGTATATATTCTTCTGAGCACAACCTATCTTCCATTTCGAAGACGACTCCATATTAGCAGGCACGGCAGTATGACCTTTTCACCATCCCTTCATGATTCAGTGTATTTCCAGCTTCTCCAAAGCTTCCCATCACAAATCCAGCCTGCTCCACCTCCTGTTCGCTGCTGTGGATGCTCATGTGAACCTCTGTCCCTGACCCTTCTCAAAGGGACTTCTGGTGGCACAGAAGATGTACCACTTGCAAGACTGTGCCCATGGTGTGGGACCCCTACGCCTTGCTCTTCCGGAGGGTATGGCAGTTCTGCATCTTGATCCTTTTCTTGACTGGGAATGACACCTAAAGAGGAGCAACACGCAGCTGATGCACTTCTGCTGTGGTGCTGCACCATCTGAACACCGAATTTCCAACCCAAACACACCAGAAGCACCACTTAGCTTCTGGTTTTTAAGACCAGAACTTACACTGAAGTAACACAGAAGGCGCACAGCAAATGAGCACTGCTCCAGATAGCTCCCTGAGGCTTCAAACCGTTCCTCAGACAAGAGCCTAACAATCGACAACTTGAGCCCTGTCTTATTTACCTCATTTAATTCAGCTGCAAATGACTCAAACCCATCTGTGTTCAATTCCAAAACATCAAACTCCTGTCACTCCTGGTACAGCTGCATTGTCCCACACGTGCTGTGGTCAGGTTTTGGTACCCCACCATGGGAAAACCCTCCCACTGACATGCTAAGGTCACAAAAATTCAGTCCCTACCAAGTGCTTAGAAATCAGTTTATAAAGGTGGAGTAGGTCCAATACAGCTTCCAGTAAACTATACCATCAGTCCATTGCCTCAAAGGTCATTTCTCACCTAGCTTTTTGTTCGGCTGTTTTGTTTTGATGGGAATTTGGTGTACAAATGCATTTGAAAACAATGCTCTTGGATCTAGGGAAGGTGGTAGGAAACCTGGAAGCTCCACCATGAAAGAGAATTAAGACTTCTCTGATTGCTGTTGAAAGATGCTCTCTTAAAGAGAAGTTCTCCTTGGTGACACACACAGATCCCACAGCTGCATAGAGCATTCATATCCAAATAAACAAGCATGCAATTTAGCTGTCCTTTTATTGAATCTGTTCATTAAACCTCATTTTTTTACCAGCTCTCTGTTACACTGAATATCTGGTACATTTTCTTGCCACACTTAAATCAACATATTATCACTGAGTTATCATGGTAAAATTTACTATTCAATACCAAAACAATTACCAATTAACTAATCACTCAAACCCTAAAAGCCCTGTAACTGTCATACTTCAGTGAGAGATGAGGAACATCCTCAGATATGAAGCCCTCTTGATCTGATGGGAGTTGAAGGTTATATCTACCACGTGTGACCAAAAATATCAATTTCCCCAGATCTGAAATAACATCCCAGCTTTGAGCCGTGACCTAAACATCATATGGCATTAGTGATCTTCATGAGATATTATCTTTGTAAAGAGAGTATTCTGGTCTCATGAAGATTTTGGATATGCTAGAGTACTATTAACGTGAAGGATAAGCTCAATTAGTAAAACTCGTTCATTTCTAAATTCACATTCACTATCCACAGCCCTTGCTTGGGTGATCTCTTAAGTCAGACAGAACGTCCTAGGTCCAGGATGGGTTCCTCGAAGTCCACTTGAAGGAATCTCGCAGGAGTAACAACAGATGATAACTGAGTTACTGAAGCTGCTCATCTCTCAGTGTTCAAAAGGAAAAGCTGAGGCTCAAGCTGGTCACTGTGGCCAAGTGCAGAAGGACAAACGAGCCCCGCAGAGCCGCGTCGGCTGCTCGGGGCCACGCGAGCGCTGGTGAACATTTGCACAGCTGGACTAAATTTAGTGGAGCTAAATTTATCTCTGCTAAATTCTCCCTTGCTCCGGCAAGGCCAGGATGAGGCAACATGGTTCCAGTTGTATTAGAGCAACTACAGCTTTCCTTTCCGCTGCTCTGCATCCCCCTGCTATATCCTGCGACAGCCCAGACACGAGCTGTGCAACAGGGCAAGAATTGGGTCTGCCAAGGCAGGAACAGAGCTTTTCAGTCCTAATCCCTCTGCCTGGCCCAGGTCATCAGGACCCCACAAATAGCTGAGCCAGGAATAGGCTCTGGGAGCCTGGACTCCGAATCTGCTTCACTGGGCTAAGATGCCCACTGTATATTTAGCACTTGCACTGGCACTAGCTGGTTATGCTGACTGGGAAGTCTTATAAGGAGAAAGAAGATGCTGCTGAGTAACTTCCAAAAAAAAAAAAAAAAAAATCAATCAAGAAAACAAGTAAATACCAACTGCCAACTACTGAGACAGGGAAAAGCAAGTTTCATATAACTAAATAAGCAGGAAAAGCCAAATGCAGTTGAAAAGCTCTGCATTACTGCTGACTCCTTACCCCGGCAGAGCCCAGCTGAGCAAACAGCTTTAGCACGTCTTAATGCAGGTTAGTCAAGCTAAAGAAACAATCCCACTGCACCTCCATACAGCCAAGTGCCTCCAACAGAGCCGCTTGGGTTTGTTCCACTGCAGATGGCTTTGGCACCTCTCGCCTTTGTCTCCCTTTGGGTGCACTGCCAGTTCCTGCTCTGAACCTGCCCTCTCAGCGCGACTCCATCTGCAGCCACCTCGGATCTTGCCATCTTGTTCTCCAAGCCATGAGGCGGCTGCTGCAGCTCGGTGGAGGAGGAGGAGCTGTGGCTCGTTGTGCCTCGCACAAGTGAGACCTAACAGTCCCCAGCTGGTGATGGGAGCAGCTTCCCAGGCTGTCCACTGCCCAAGCACCCCCGTGCGAAGGGAACGTGGTGAGGAGCTGCGTAAGGCTGGCGCTGCCCAACAGCAATGCTTCACTTCTCAATTTAAGATGGCAAACTTGGCCATTCCTGGCAGATCTCCCTAGAGAAGAGATCCACAACAGCCTCAAAGCACAGAGCCAAGGCACAGTTACCAACCGGCAGCAGCTTCCCAATTCCCTGTGCAAAAAGTTATCTCAGTTCCTGTTGTCCCCAGGCCCTTCTTACTCGACAGTTCTTGGTGACGGCTCCTTTTCCAGGCCATCAGCTGAACACTCTTCAGTGTTCCCACACTCTGCAGCTTCAGTTTTCCTTTCAGACTCATGCAGACTTCAGGCAGAGCTTTCCCAGTTGCAGGCCACAGGAACCACCACAGGTTTTACTTGTTCCACAGAAGGATGGCAGCAGTTTTCACCAAGCCTTGCCTGCACTTTCAGATAAAGCAATGCTGAAGGACTTGGGATCACCAACCTTCGACAGGACCCTTGGGACATAACGGTAACTGAAGGCAACATTCAAGCAGTGAGGTGGTCACTGCCTGCCACCCACCAGGGATCCAGGAGATCTGCAAACCCATTCCAGTGCTGACCTCACTCTGGATTTGAAAGAGGCTCTCTGGAGATCAAAGACCAACACATTAACACAACATGACATTTAGCTCCCACCTCGGTCCTTCCTGCTGGAGCTGGCTGATGAGTAACCGTCAGTTACAAATCAATGTCCCTTTTGTTTTCTGGCATTCTTCCTTTCCTCTGCAGGATGTGCAGAGCAGCAATTAACATGTTCTTTTTTCTGTATGACTCTTCTTTATCCAACTCACTTAAAAATAAAGATTTTCTTCCTCCTCACAAGTGCACGACTTGTGCCATTTCCCTCTCAGTCAACTTTCTGCAAGTACCGTTCATATCCCTTCCTCTGCTCTTGTGTGCTGAACAGAATTGGTAAACAACTCTCATATTATGGATGTCACATCTATTTTCCATCTAGCTTCATTTTATCTTTCTTGAGTGGAATGTAATAGAGGCCATATAATTTACAAAACTGTTCTCCTCCTGACCTGCTGTTCAATTCTACAGAGAATGAACAGCACTGGAGAATTTATACCTCAGCCCACTTCTGAGTTGATGTTCGGGGCTGGTTTCTGCACGACTGTTTGTGTGTTACCTGCCTATGTTGTCAGAGATGGAACTTTTAATTCATTTCTTTCAAAGTGTGCTAACGTCAGTAAAGAATCTTCACCTCTCCAGTCGGACTCCTCTTGGACAAGGCTGTCTTCACCCAGCACTGCCCATCCAAGGGAAACCTGTAGTGCCACCACCCCTGCAGCACAATCCAAGCATGGATATACTGTTTATCTGCTCTTTGTGTCCAAGTACAAAGAGGTAACCTTCTCTTCACAGTATCGACCACCTTATTACTGTAAGAAAACCACTTCCCAGTTCCATACCCAGCCACTGCCATAAGCAATAATACTCTGCCATCCACAATGCAGGACAAATGATTCCCAAGACATACTACACTGAATTATCCAACAACAGACTGGTTTGTACGTGTCCTACTACCTCCCACTAGCGCAGACCCAACCACATGCCACAGCAGATGTTAAAAGAAAATTGAAATACTCACAGATTTTTCTATTTACCCAAACAAGTGAAGCTTCAGTTTGCTAGACCAAGTCCTCAACACTCCCACTGACAACAGAACACTAGCTCTGTGACCACGAATAATGTCTTTGTGAGCGCTGAGTAGGGATTAGCACTTTCTTATATCTGTATGAACATAAACTACACATTTATGCTCTGCTAATACACAGCCTGAAGTAGCTCAGCACCGGTGGTGGCAACAAGCTCTGCTGTGACAATGGGTACAAGGCAAAGAGCTTATTGCTCTGATTTTGTGGATATGATCCCCTTTGGAAAGATGGGAGTAATTTTCTGCCTATGAAACGGCCTCTGTTTAGCAGTTTAGAGGAGTAATGTTTTACAGCAGCAAGAGCCCACACCTGGCTCCCCAGCCAGCCCCGTCAACAGACAGACAGAAAGGCTCCTTACCTCAAAGCAATAGTCTTGTCCCAGGATGCTACTGTGGACCGGCTTGATGACCACTTCTTCCTCCATACTGAGATCCAGAGCCTCAACAGCACTACTGGGACTGAGCAAAGACTCGTGGGAGCGTGATTCTTTCAGCCTCGGCATTAGATGGGATCTAAGGGAAAAATGGAACGGGATCAGTGGATGCTTTCCTCCCCAGAAATTATTTAGTCCATCTGTTAGCAACAACTGCAGAATGTTCCTGGTAATTTTTTACCCTGAGATAACAGAGGGCCCAGAATAGCAGGGACTGCTACTCTGCCCCATTTATAATTTGCTGAGCAGGTTCTATTCCAGGCTGTTTTTCCAAGCCCTGATGCTGCCAGGACTACATTATCAGAGGTGTGCAGACTGTGGGGCTCTGCACAGCTGAGCAGGTCTCTAAATGTCTGTCATGCCCGTTGTTTCCAGGTGGGCTGCAGTACATCAGGGAGGTGGCTGGCCCGAGCAGGAACCACTGTGCTCACCAGTCCCACAGTTGGGTCTGCAGCACCCGACTGCTGGGGCAGGTTTACACACTTGTGGGGATCCCATTAGCATCCTACTGTGTATCTTGGTGTTTCACAGCACCCAGACCCTACTGACAGAAAGAAGTTACCTGTAAATGGGGAGGAATTAGTGACTTTAGCCCTTGTAAAACCCCAGACCCACGTTCACCTCCTGCCTGCAGAGTGTGCCCAGAGAATGGCACTGCCGGAGCAGTGGCAATTCCCATGAACAGGAACCTTTCTCCCCACCACAGCTCACTCATCCCTCTCGCTGCTGCAGCTGCTATCTGGATCCACACTCTGCAACCAACAAGCCAAAGGCTCGTGTGTTACACACCTGGGATGGGGACAGTGTGGAAAATAAGGCCATGATAGCCCTATCGATTGATCTAAATGCTCCGGAGTCCCACTGGCAGCATTTAGCAGCAGGGAGCCCACAGACAGCAAGCAGCACACCATTTTTGAGACAGCCAATACAATCAATGGTGCTATAACTCTTAAAGCAAAACCAGGAGGCTTAGGGGGAAAAACAGAGCTAGGTACTCGCAGGGAAAACAGCAAAACCAGAGAGTGGCAAGAGAAAAATAACTTGAGAGCAACAGGAGCAGCTGCCTCCACCATGTAAAATGTTCCTACTCCAGCCAGCTCACAAAGCTCTGATCCTGGTAACTCTGACCTTTAAATCCTCTGTTAAGCACTTTAGGGTCTTCCAAAGAGACCACGTGTCCCTCTGTCTACACAGAGAGCACAACGTCTTCTTCAAAGGCGCAGAAGGACACGAGTTAGAGGAGTTTGAGAGATTCTCAGCATGTTTTTGTGAGGGAAACAACGATGCTCCCAATATATTCTCAGTCTGCTTTGTGTGTGTTGAATTCTGTCGTTCTCCAGAATAAAGCTGACCAAACCACCGAGAAATGTCAATAGCACATGCAAAATTCATAGCTTCCGGGGGATCACACGCCAGGCTGAACCTAGAGACCAGCCAAAGGGGATGCTAAGATAAACAGCAGCAGAAGATAAACAGGTGCTGCTCTAGATTTGCCATTAAGATTCATGCAGTGGATGAGCCCCCAGGTGATAATGGATCAGCCTGCAGCTGGGTTCTCCAGCTGAGCATGCTAAATGGATGGCTTGGAGAGCCACAGCTCCTGCGGCAGCACCACAGGATAACCAGCCTGGGGACATGCTGCCCAAGGGTGCCAGCACAGCACAGTCTCCAGGCACCTCCCTGCATCCAGAGAGGCCACAGCCAGGACCAGTCGTGGTGGTACCTGCGAGGGCATCTGCAGGAAACCAGCCCAGACACCACAATCATCCTCTGGGGGACAGCCCCCAGCCCATGGATGCTAAAAGCCTGGGTTAGCACAGCCCAGTGCTGGAGCAGGAGCGGTGCCTTTGAAGCAGAAGGCTCTCCATCCCATTAGTGATTCTCTCAACTGCACACCCACCCCAGATCTCTATGGTGAATAAATTGATCTCTAGGAACTGAGCACAGTCGTTTCCCAGTACTTTGTGGCAATTTTCCACTATTTTCACAGAAAAGGGTCCATATTCCTTCCCTCTGAATGATACTGGAAATTAACTCTAATACAGGCAGACAGATCAAGTTACCTTTGGACACAGAGAGCAGAACTAAGACCCAGCAGCTCAAGAATTGACAATGCAGCCTGCTCACCAAGCCCAGAATCAAGGCATTTGGAGTAAATCTTATTTCCATATTTGAAATACGAAATTAGAGAAGTCAACAAGCTGAGACTTGCATTCTCGTGTGGACAAATATAAACACGGATAAACGAAACCCACAAGTGCGGAGCTACACACTGAAACACAAAGACGTACATCGCTGAGCTGGACTGCTTCGTGCTGGCCTAAGAATTCTTGTTAAAATTAAAAGAAAACAAGTTTATTTTTCATGTAAAACTCCTGCAGCTGCAAGGCCCCGGGTGGGAGTGCGGATGTGCAAGATGAAGAATTACCAAGGGAGAGCTTCTCAGGACATATTATGTTCTCACCAGATTCAGCAAATGCGTATTTATATCCTTCCATACTCTGACATATGCCTCTGGGAATCCTAAAATTAACGGGACTTTCCTTAGGCAGGAGGTTGTTTGTCAGGTTCCTGCCTCGGCAGGACCCGCTCCCACGACGTCTCTTACTCCTGAACGATCAAATCCAACCCAGGTCAGCAACAGAACCATTTTTCACCAGATGCTGCGCTGTACAGAGGGAGCGCTGCAGGTCTCCAATCAGCCCTAAAAGGCTCAGCATCTGTCTGTGTATCAAGAGCTAAATGGGGAGATGTCATTAATTAGAGACTCTGGTTTGAAATCCCAGCAGAAGGGATGTGCCAGAGGCAGCCCCGGCGGAGCAGGATGAGAGCTGTCTCTGCAGAGCATCCTCACAGGGTGACTGGTCCCGTCCTCTCCCCAGCACCCCAGAGCCGGCCCTGATGCTACAGCACTTAACCCATGGCAGCGCAGGGGGTATGCAGACATCCCGGAGCACAGGAAGGGCCACACACCACCAGTCTTCAAAGGACACACAGTCCTTTCATTTTCATACCCTCTTGTAGAGGAGAGCGCCTTCCTCATGTCCTTTGGTAACAACATGACATTTGCAGCAGGAGGCCATTTACTGGAAGATGTTTGCAAGTCCCTGTCGCAGCTCCCACAGACTTCCTTTTGTATTAACAGTAAGAAAAGGCCTTGCTAAGGCCATAAGCTGCTTCTCCGACTCCGAGGGCACTCTGGTTACTGGAAGGACCACTCAGTGTTGCCCCGCTTTGGGCAGGGAAAACATGAACCCGCTGTGTTTGTGTTACACTGAGCAAGAACTGTACTACATCAGGCCAAAAAAAGATGTGGAGGGTGTCATCCAAAGATGATTTACTGGGCAAGGGCTGGCAAGTACTAAAAAAACCCCCAGCAATTCCACTCACTGATGAAGAAGTGCAGAAATATTACACACACGATGTGACAACCCCCTGGGCAGAAGCAGCAATACAAGCAGGAGGTGGATACTCCTCAGCCCTGCCTTCACCCAGCGTGGGCAGGGAGCAGCACCCACGACAACAGAGGTACCAGAGCCTTTGTAAACTCGTGTTCTTCCTTAACCATCCAAAATCCTAACAGGCAAACTCACCTGGAACATCATTTGTTTATTGTGTACATACACTTCCAAGATGACAGAGGTACTTTGTTCAAATTCATCTCTCTACCACCACTTTTCAAACACTGCCCCTGGGGCCATCCACTCTCCTGCTCTAATAATTCGTTGTGTGTTCCAGGTCCCATCCCAGCTTACGTGAGCTGGTCAGATTCAGTTCCTACACTTTTGTTTTAATATGGTGGGAACAGGCAGCTGCCCAGAGAAATCTCACAGCAGGAAACCCTCTTTCCAAACAGCACGTTCACTTCTTTTTGCCACGGGCCTTATTTCAATCCCTTTCTACTTGCCTGAAGTTCAGCTGAAATGAAGGAGGGGGGAAATCTCATAAAAGACCACATTAGTTCTAAAGAGAAATAACTGCTACCGGCGCTGACCTGGAGAGTCCTGCAGAGAGGCAGCCAGTCTCTCGTTATTAAAGAAGAGGTTTACTGCCCAAGAGCAATGACAGAGGATTGTTGTTCTAAATAATGAAAGCCATAAAACATTTCCATGTGAAGGGATGCCATCCCCCTCCGCCTGCTTCCTCCAGAGCATCCAAAATTAGGGACATCAAGGTTTACCAGGCTGTGACAGCACACCTCATCCAACCACGAGCTTGTGGACCGCAGAGGAACAAGCCTGGAGGGACAATCCATTTGCTCCTCACCAGACTCCACGCTGGATTTGGATCAATGGAGGCAGCAACCAACCCTCTGCAGCAGCAGCACCACGCACACTGCCCCGAGTCCAGGCTCAATGTTCTTTCAAGAACAAAGATGCTCTGCTGAGGCTACAAGGAAGGTGAAGATGTAGGGCCTGTCTACACAGACTTCTTCTGGAATAGGTCTTGTGTGTTTAAACTCATACACTCTTACTCCAGAATTGCTTTCTTGTGAAGACAAGCCCACAAAGGGACAACCCCATCAGTTTTCATTACAGAACCTCACCTGCCTGAAACCACCCAGCTGCTGCTTCTGTGGTTTGATGATGAGAATTTTCCTGATATTTTGGAGGGAGAGACAGAAACAAACAAGGAACCTGGCTGGGGAGCCTCAGAGGGATGGAGCAGACACCAAACCTAACACTGAAACACAGGGAAGAAATTAAAGAGCCTTTCTTAAATCTCTTACTGTTCCACCCTGAGAGCACAAGCAGATGGGGGAATTCAGATGGAAGTCCAGACCTTAAGCTGAAGTCGTCCCATTAACACCAGCTGCAGTCAGCCTTTGCAACATGAATGCCTCCCTGCTGACAGAGGGATCTGATCTCCCCAGTTACACGTTTGACTCTGTGACACATCTCCTGGTCAGGAAACGTTCCCTGCATTCAGCTTTGCAATTGCTGACAGATCTGTGCTCTGACCAGCTGGGAAGAGGGTCTTTAGGGCAGGCCTCACTCCCTCACCAGCACACACCCGCTGCAGGGGTCCTGAATGCACACACACAGTGGAACAGCCCCTGAGATCCACATGCAGCA